AAATTTGTTGAGGGGAAAGGTTACACTGGTAAAAAAAAACCTCTTGGTTCAAGAGTGCAGTTTCATGTCGCCGGATTTAAGAGTCTGGACTCTTGTTTCAAGCAGACTTTGAATTGAATCAATGCAAAATCCGCTTAAAACAAGAGTTCAAGATTCTTAATTCCGGCGACAAGAAACTGCACTCTTAAGTCAATGCACCGCGGCATTGGTCCGAGAGGGGTTTTTTTTACCAGTGATTGATTCGATCGCTAAGACATCAACCATAAGGAGAATGGTTTGTATTATTTCGTTTTTACCGTATTGATTCCACGAGCTAGCTATCGTTGTACTTAAGGATAATTTGTCTCACTTAATGTTTTTGATATGAAGGCGTATATTGACGCCGTTTTTGGGCCCAATCGCTAAAATTCCCCAACTATATGATATTTCTGCCATCGAGGTTCTTGATTTGACGGATGCAACTTAATTTGGTCATTTTTGGTCTCTATCTAGGTCTGATATTGACCTAAACATGGGTCTGATGGCCGATTTTGACAAAAAATGCCGATTTTTCGGCATGACCGTCGAGGTTCTTTACTTGACGGAATGCATTGGTCATTTTTGGTCTTTTTTCAGGTCTCTTATAGGCCAAAACATGGATCTGATGGCCGATTTTAGCGAAAAATGCGGATTTTTCGGCATTCGACCGCAGAACTATGCTAAGGGTGGTATTAGACTCGAAGAGAGACAAAAAATGACTATATCATGATGCATTCCGTCAAATAAATACCTCAAGGAGCAAAAAAATCGCAAAGTTGAGGAAATTCAGGTTGGGCCCAAAAACTGATCTTAAATCGATACTCCTCTTTTTCTAGAGCACTGCAAACCTTCTCGTTTGAGGATTTTCTTCTTTAACAAGGTATCGCCAGAACTGAACTTCGATTCACTGAACTTGTTCGCGGGAAACTGAAGAAAATGATGAGGAAGAAGAAAATAAGAAAAACATTAGAGCTTAGAGCATAAATTTGAATTAGATGTATTTAAAGGCCAACAGAGAAGATCGAACCACGGTGCGAGTTCGCAGGAAATCCTAATTAAGATTATAATTAAAGTTCTACGCAAAGGGCCATTTTACGTAAAAGCGGACCGGCTCAAATCTTGTTGGAGGACTCTTTCTGAAAGAACAACTCCTACAAAGCACAATGCTACCGTGCTAAGGAAGAATGCCGTATGAACATTCGAGCGTTGCCGAATTTCCTTCAGTAAAATGTTTGTTTTCGAGGAAAAGTATGAATATTTTCCCCTAAAATTTTCAGGAAGACTAGGTGAAATTGTAAACAATATTATATGAAAAATTGGAAGGAAAATATTCATGAGTATATCAGGAAATTCGTGTTTTATCAGTCGCAATTTGGCAACGCCTGAAGGTTCATACGGCGTTCTTCCTTAGCACGGCAGAATGATCCTTTATCACGAGACAAGCCTACGACGGGGTTCGGATCTCTTCCTCGTCCGGACGGATTACATTTCAACGATGAAAGGTAGGACGAAACGAAACGAAAGAAGAGGAAAAGAGGAACGGAGTGGGAGGAGAGGAACGAGCGAGAGAGGAGGAGGCAGGAGCCGAATGCGTTCGGTTCCACTGCATAGAGGCCCCGCTTCACTGCCGTGTTTGGCGTGGTGTATCAGGCGCCTGGATCGATATGCACATCGCACTGCAGTGATGCATTCAGGGAAGCGTTCGGGCACTCGGGCGGCGGCTGTGAGAAATTGACTTCCGCTTTTATGGCCGTCCGGCGCCGCACAACGTTCCGAAAGTTGCATTCCGCTGGGAAAAGCATGAAAATGTGCATAATGCACGAATAAACACTGGAAAAAAAACACATTGGATCTAGAGTCCAGACTCTTGAAAACATTGACAAGAAAAAATACTCTTGATTCAATCAGATTTACTTAAATCAAAAGGAAATCCGCTCAAATTAAGAGACTTGGTTCTTGATTTAAGCTTAAATCTGATTGAATCAAGAGTGTTTTTTCTTGTCGATGTTTTTAACAGTTTGGACTCTAGGTCCAATGTGTTTTTTTTTCCCGTGAAGAATTCGGGAAAAGGGATATTTCTGATTTGTAATTTAGACGAATTGATGGACTGTAAAACTTTCTTTTTTTCACTCATTTTATTGTGCTTCTTTTAAGAGATTGGTATAAGCAAGTGTGGCTAAGGTCTTTTCTCCATAGACGGATCCAGGAAAGCGTGGGGGCTTCCGCCCCCTGGCGAGCCGATTATTGAAATTGATAGACAAAACTAATAGACAAAGAGGGCAAAAGGGGTAAGGAGGGATCCTATTGGTGGAAGTGGGTGGTTGCAATGGAAAAACGAAGTAGGTAATAGACTAAATAACGGCAACCTACGAGAGACCCTACAGTTAGTCCCCCATTTTCTCCAGAAAAGAGAGATTTTCGTTATAATGGGTGTCGTCATAGCGAGAAAATCGTTCAAGAACCGAGCGATTCCTTCGCCAAAGAGAGATTTTCGATAAAATGAGTGTCGTTATAGCGAGGGAATACCGTAGTCGGGTGCGTCGTATGATTTTTTAAAAGTTACGGTCATCTGAATTTCCATTCTTCCGACCTCACCGCGTTCAGTGTGCGCCTTGCATAAGAGCCTTTTTACGATTCATAATACTGCCGCGAAATGAATAAATTTCCCGGGCCGGGCCGACGATGTGAAATAATAAAAATTGCCTTGCGGAGTTTTGACTTTTATGATAAATTAAGATGTGGAACGAACACGGCTCTCCGAGTTCGGAAATACGATTGTTCAGTTTTCTGTTCAAAGTTTCAGCGTGGACTGTGAATGGAAAAACTTTCCTCCGGTGGATGAGGGCATTCCTGTCACCCGGCAAAAGAAAAGCTGTCAACTTTGAGCTTGTTCTGTGTACACAGCATGTCGTTTCCTATTCTGTCGACAATTTGGATGCGGAAAAGTCTCTCCGTGGATTCTTAGCGCAATTAATGTCAAATTATTGACCGAACGAACTAGAACACTTAAACAGGGAGAGAACGGGCGTGTGGAAGTATGCACGGAGAAAAAAACCTCGTGCGTGGGACCCGAAGTTGAGGTCATATGGATCTTTGAAGTTTTCGGACCACGTATCTAAAAACTTGAGGTCCAGCTGCCGCAGTTCGGGTCAGACATCTGAAGTACTTCGATATACACCGAAAGGTTACTCCGGTACATACCGAAGTGCCTCAATGTCAGACCGGAACTTCGGCAGCTCGACCTCAAGTTTTCGGATGCGTGATCAGAAAACTTCAGAGATCCATATGACCTCAACTTCGGGTCCCATGCACAAAGTTTTTTTCTCCGTGTGGAACTCTTAGAGCCCAAACTGCCGTACTAAAGGAAGAACGCCGTAAGAAAATTCGAGAGTTGCCAAGTTTCTCGGATAAAACATGTATTTCTAAGGAAAGTAACGCATATTTTTTCTTGAAATTTTCAAATATTTCGGATGGAATTGCGAACAATGTCGTCTGAATAATTTGAAGAAAAATATTCCCAATTTTCCGAGTAAAATCGTTCTGTATTAGAGGAAATATTGCAACGCCTGAAGGCTCACGCGACGTTCTTCCTTAGCAAGGTAGCAGAGGGGCAGGCAGCCTTTTAGTACAAAAATGTCACTGCGGATCTTCAGATTCCAATATCAAACCAAGATGACCAAAAATGTTCATAAAATGCGCGTTCTTCCGCAAAAAAGAGTAAATCTATGCAAAAAGTAAGTCAAATACGTGTTTTAAAAAAATCAGGAGACTTGAAATTGCTACCTACCGATGGGGAGCAACGGAAATAAACGGAAACCTCCGTGTGATTTCAAGCATAGATAGCATTAAAATTAAATTATAAAAATTCTTCGTGATTGCAACTAATTCTGAATATTATGAAAAATTCTGAATTTTCAAACGAATGGCGAGGAAACTCGATGGTGTGCAGCTATCTTTTACCCTATGCACATAGTTACTTTTAGCATAAATACGTCAGTAAACGTGTCAGTAATAAATGTAGGATGATCGTACCCCCCCCCCCTTTCTTCGGAACGATGCCTCAAGTTGCGTAATTTTTAGAAGGCCTCTAACTGCACATAAACATTCTGCATCAGATACGCGGTTCTCCGAAATTGCGCTTATCAGGGGATCATGTTCCCGCAGTGACGTCAGGGATGATATTAGCAACAGTTATGGCAAGTTACACGGACGAATTAAAGTTTTGGAGCACAAGGGCGTATCTCCATGTCCGCAGGATGAGTCCTTAAATACACGGAGTTTTATGGAAAATAGGGCTCAACTCAAAAAGTAGATACGGCCTTACACCATAAGGGCGACGATTAGTTATGCGCGGGCATACGCTATAAGAAGAAACACCGTAAGAGCATGCGGACGATGCTAAATTTCCTTCGATGAAACATCAGTTCTTGATGAAAGTTACTATTATTCGTTCTTAAAATTTTTAGGGACAATAGATTAATTGCGAGTAAAATACTCTGAAAAGTTCGAAGAAAAACATTCATACGTTTTTAAGAAAATTCGTATACGATCAGGATAAATTTGGCTTTGTTGAAATGATTTTACGATAATTTTCTTAACAGGGCAACGTGCGCAGTAATTAGGTAACATTTAACGGTTAATTGGACGTATTTATGCTAGAAGGAACCATGTGCATAGAATTTCGGTGTAACAGTGGCGTGGCTTGCTTTGCGATATATCGATTGATCCGCCATTTAAACCCATGGAAAAGGATCGATAAACAGGGTGTTCGCAGCGAACGCCTTAAAGTCGATTCTTTACCATAGGTGTAAATGACATAACAATCGATATATCGCAATTCACGCCACGCTCCTGCTGTGCAACATAGTTTATTTTAACTTAAATATGTCCAAATGTACATTATAGGGCGACAACGATTGTTAACACAAGTGCAGGTTCGCAATTGTCGATTATGATGCTTCAGAGTGCAAAGTAAGAATAATATTCCAAGCTACCTTGGAGTGTGCTAACACTTTAGGCGCTGCTGATTACCTGTACTTTACATGAAGTCACGCAGGAATCATTAAATTCTCTCATCAATTGTATGAACATTATCCTCTGCGGCTCAAGTATCGATTTATTTTCAAGAAAACCGACCAATACATTAACACGATAGTTTGCATTGGAGCAACACTGAAAAAGTCTTCGGTGTTGGATAGAGAACGTATAATTTTTTTTAGATCGCAAGTATACCACGACGTATGTACAAAATTTTCATCAAACCTGCCTTCATTTTTCTGATCCTTGGTGACCATGGTTGGGACCTCATCAAGTTTTCAAAAGTAAGTCAAACTAAACTTACATTCAACAGTTATACTGACTATTTTACTCGGTCAAACTGGTGTGAGAAAAGAAACTTCATGCAGTACTGATACTTTGTTAGTTGAGCTATATTCAGCACAACTCCTCAAGAATATTTTTAATCACAATTTGAATGATGTAAAATTGAATCAGCTATAATTTCTTGTTTCTATTGTAATAGGTATTGAGGATATGAACCGTATACACGAAAAAACAACTTAGCGCTAAGCCCTAATAACACTTCAGGTAAAATAGCGCCCCACTAAAGGCAATAGGTCTAGACCCTAAAGCTGTAGGGCTTAGCACCACTGCCTGTAGTTGGTGCTATTTTACTTAAAGTGTTAGGGCTCAGCACTAAGTTGTTTTTTCCACGCAGACTAAGCATGAAATGAGTTAAAGAATTTGAGTTGAGTGTCCAATTCGATTTCGGTAGACTTTGTTTGCCGAGTGGGCCATTAGATACACTAAATAGAGAACGATGATTCTCGCGCTTTTAATTTGAAAAGCAAAAGTTCGTTTAAGGGATATACTAGGGCGAATCGCAGCTACAGGCAGGTAAAAACGTCGAAACGAGCTTGCTTTTTTTAAATACTTGAATTGGGCCGCGTTAGGCAGAAAAGGAACCAAACCACAGTAGAAGTAGCTATTGCCAAATTTTTATGGTACGAAGCTATGTCCTTAAAATGGGCAATGTCCAAAAAGAATCCGCACAAACGTTCTGTTGTAAAAAATTAAATTGCCCGATTTAATTTGGTGATAGCTAATGTGGCTTAGTTCCATTTTGCTAAACGTGGTCGAATGGAGATGTTGCATGAGGGATTTGCGATTTGACTGTTGATTCTTATTTAAAAGTTCGCGAGAAACACGATGGTGCCACTGGTTTTCTCTGAAATCAACTCCCAAGCTCAAAAAAGGCTCTCAAGTTGAGGCCAAAATGGAGGGGATATCTCACGCTATCCTGAGAGTCCACCTCTACATCGAGACAAACTCTCCATGCAAATTTAGGGAGCAAATATATTAGCAGGGTTGCCGTGTTTTCAGTTTTGGAGTCCCCAAATAAAGTGGCAACCCTGTCAATGTATTTGCTCCCTATCTTTGCATGGAGAGTTCGTCTTGGTGTAGAGGTGGACTCTGAGGATACCGTGGGATATCCCCTCCATTTTGGCCTTAACTTGAGAGGTTTTTTTAGCTTGGGAGTTGATATCAGAGAGAACCAGTGGCACCATCGTGTTTCTCGCGAACTTTTACGTAAGAATCAATAGTCAAATCGCAAATTCCTCACACATTCAACATCTCCATTATGACCCCAAAAAGCGGTCATTTGAGGACACGAAGTGTCCGTTTCGGAGAAATGGGGGACGGCCGCGTAGGAGCCAAAAAGCTTACCTCTCCAATATACTAAAGTGGTCCTGATGATTTTGTGCCACCTAGTTCACCTGGGTTGCCTCCTCTGGTGCCCCCGAGAACCAAAAACTTGATCCGAAGGACACTAGCCCTGGCTCCGTGGTTCTGCCTGAGAGGTACAAGGACGAGGACGCCCCGATTCCAGTTCGGGTTCAGCCGGGTGACCCGCCGGATGACGTCATCAACGTGAGCCCTTACTACTGGCGCGGGAACCACTCGTACTTCCTATGGGAACACCAACCCTGCGAGAACTACAAGGTGCATCTCGGATCGCAGACCAACAACCGTCGGATTTACGGCTGCATGAAAGTGGCGTTCAATCTGAAGAAGTACCAGGAGGCGGAGGTGGCCAGGGGCCAGACGCTGTCGACCAACTGTTCCGCGATTATCGCGGGCACTTGTTTCGAATTTGGGGGCACAAAGGTCGCTGCTATATTCTCCAACACCCCGACGAAAATACGTATAAATACGTGCACGTCGTTGACTGCCATTAGCGGTACAATGGACCAAATCTGCCGTGCTAAGGAAGAACGCGAACATTCGACAATTGCCAAATTCCCCCGAATAAAACACGTATTTTTGAAAAAAGTCATGCATATTCATCCTTGAAATTTTCAGATATTTTAGATTAACTAGAGAACAAAATAGTCTGAAAAATTGGAAGAAAAATATCTACAGTTTCCCCAATTTATCAGAAGAAATGCTGCAACACTGGAAAAAAACACATTGGATCTAGAGTCCAGACTCTTGAAAACATTGACAAGAAAAAGGACTCGTGATTCAATCAGATTTAATCTTAAATCAAAAGGAAATCCGCTCAAATTGAGAAGCTTGGTTCTTGATTTAAGCTTAAATCTGATTGAATCAAGAGTATTTTTTCTTGTCAATGTTTTTAAGAGTCTGGCCTCTAGATCCAATGTGTTTTTTTTCCAGTGAACGCCTAAAGGTTCATACGGCGTTTTCCCTCAGCACGGCAGTTAGACAAGGTCCCAAGTAGAGGGAAACTTCCCATGTTTTCTCTTCAAAATCTTACGTAGAAAACGATTCACACTATGAGAAGTTTTGAAATCATCCTCTGGACGAGATATTAACAAGTCATTTAAACACAGATCGAATGGAAGTTCGATTACACTGATGACATCATCTGTACTTTTGCCATTTAACCAATGTTAATACAGAAAACACGTAAATCTTGTTTAGGATCATGAGACTTCCCGTTATATAATGTGTTTCCCTTGTCGAATTTTGAAGAGGAAACATGCAGCGTTGTGTTTTAATTACCTTGTCTAGAAGCCCATTTGGCAACACTGGTTTTCTTACATTTAAATTTATGTAAAATAATCGTTATTGGTTTTTGACTTCTGAAGGTTCTAAAATCGATATTTTCAATGTATTTAAAGGTAAGAAATCCAACGTTGCCGGTTTGCAAAATCACCACTGAGAGAAATGAACATTTCTGGAGAGAGAAAAACTCGAAAAAAAGCCGAGTAACCAATTCTTAACATTAGGCATGTTAAAAAAAAGAGAAAAAAAGGGAAAGAGAGAAGAAATAAAATGAACAGGTAGTACACTATGCACAAGAACTAGTACAATTATATGGGCGAGTTTTACAATTTGAAAGCTTCACTGTTATTTTTCATTAGAAAGAGTTATTAAACAGAGAGGCGGTAGCAAATTGGCAATACAAATATTTCAATAGCCATGAAAAAAAGGAGATAAAAATGTTGAGAAACGAGCGCTCCTATACAACTTTGCGTGTGGGTAAAAAGGTTCATTTTGCTGTGCAAAGGAAAAATTTCATACAAACGTCTGGATTTTGTCAAACTTTTCAATAAAAGCACAAATTTTCTGGAGGAGTTATGCACTTTTCTCGAATTTTCAAGCTGATTTTACCGGGGCCGGATTAAGGGGATGGCCGCATGGGCCGCGGCCCATGGCGGCAAAATGTAGGGGGAGACAAATTTTGCAATTGTTTTGAATGTAGGTATCAAAAAGAGAGAGAGAAAAATCTGATTCAGAAAATAAATTACAAACGAGAAAAGGCGACAAGATCTCTCATTTCCTGAGAGTGAAAGTACAGTAATTTCTAATTTTGTCGTCTTTCGGTGATACAATAGGCAGCACCTTTAATTAGTCGAGTTAATAGAGAAACCAAACACGCAATTTGACTTTGGAACGGAGCGGCGCGACGCGGCGGTCGGCATAAAACACATAGCGCCTACAAGACTGCATGAATACTTCACGCATTGCGCCAATACAGTGCGGTCGGCGCGGCGGTGGAAGTTAAAATTTTTAACCACATTTATGTTTATTCTTTCATAAATTTTTCGTTCGTTTTTTATAAGTGGAAGGCCTTGTCCCAACAAGGATGGGTTTACGGAACTGAACTCTTGTTAGTGTTGCCAGGGCTTTCACAAAAATTGTGCCCAACACGAGTAAACGCATCGCATACACCCTTCCCCCACCGGCACGTTCACTTGATGGTTTTTATAGATCGTATTCGACAGATCACTCAGGTAAGATTATAGTGATATCGACTGATTCAATATGTAACCACGGCCTCAAAAGTCAATTTAGAAATCTGGGGTAACGGGTCTGATGTGATCGAATTTTTATTCTCTCGAGTAGCAAATGGCGATGAAAAGTGAAATTGTCATGAATTTCCTCATTCTCAGCTTTTCTAAATTGAATTTTAAAATGTTTTTTGAGGTTATGTTCTATTGTTATGAACCAAACGATACATCGAACCACTGTCGAATACGATCTATTGATTTTTCAAAACAAATGAGAAGGGGGCGGAAAAATTCAGGCGGCTCGTGGGCGGCAAGTAGGTAAATCCGGCCCTGGATTTTACACCCACTAAAAAAATCGTATGTTAGCACCTGGGATGTCAAAAATGTGTCTGGTGATCCCAAGATACTGCCTTGCAGTTAATTTTACATCCTGTGAATGTAAATTCAACTGCGTGGGCGATTAAGGCAGCAACCTAGGATCACCAGACACATTTTTGACACCCTAGGTGCTGAAACAGCATACCACCTTTTTCAGTGAGCGTTTTTGAGTGTACTTGAATATTTCAAGGAAAAACGCACACAATTAATCTTGGGAAAATGAAACTTTTATTGGGGGAAAATGTGAGAATAATGGGAAGTCCATAGGTTGCTTATTCGGCTGACTATCTTTCCCGCACATTACTGTACAAGTGCATTTGTGGTAATTTTTCCGATTATCGTTGCCGCACAAAATCATTTTCGCACAAATAATTTTCTGCAGTATGTTCGAGAGCATGGTTGTCCTGCTCAGCTGCTGTGCGATGTTGCCAGATGTTTGAGACTTAATTTGTGTGCGAAAATGATTTTGTGCGGTAACAATAATCGGAAAAATTACCGCAAATGTACTTTGTGCGGAAGCGATATTCTGACATTTATTCTTAGGAGGAGAGCATTCTGCCGTGCTAAGGGAAAACGCCGTATGAGCCTTCAGGCGTTGCCAAATTTCCTTTGATAAAACGCGAATTTCCTAGTAAACACATGAATATTTTCCTCCCAATTTTTCAGATAATTTTGTTCGCAATTTCACCTAAAGATTCTGAAAATTTAAAGGAGGAATACTCATAACTTTCCTAAAAAAAAATAACATTTTATCGAAGGAGATTTGGCAACGCTTGAATGTTCATACTGCGTTTTTCCTTAACGTGGTAGCAGTGGCGTGGCGTGAATTGCGATGTATCGATTGTTATGTCGTTTGAACCTATGGAAAAGGATCGATAAACAGGGTGTTCGCAGCGAACACCTTAAAAATCGATTCTTTACCATAGGTTTAAATGACATAACAATCGATACATCGCAATTCACGCCGAGCCACTGCACGGTAGCATTGATCCACTGTGCGCCACGTCAGAGAGTGGGAAAGCGAGCAAGTGTAAAATTAATTCTGCCGCAATTAAAATTGAATTGAGGCATCGGGTAAAAAAGCAACGGAGAGAGGGAAGGAGCCGCGGACGCGGGAGGGGGAGGGGGTTAGGAAAAACAAAATAGGAGTAATAGCGGAGATAAAGAGGGAGCGGGGAGGGGGAACATAAAGCAAACACTTCCGCTAGATATTTTCTAGCACGGACTCCGCACGGATGGGAGCAAGAAGCAGCGTGTAAATTATTTCGTGTAATTTACACCCTCGAGCTGGCGCGGTGAAGGGAGCCAAGCAAAACCTGAGATTGCCCAAGTGCAGGGGCACATGCAAACTCCATGCAGTCAGGAAATTGAGGTTTTAGATACATTATTCATCCGGCACCGCTACTCTAGTTTGCCTGCTCTCGAGGCAACCACTGCTAAAAAAAACCTTTTCAAGTCCTAGTCAATTTTAAAGAGACAACTCGTAAAAACAACTATGGTTTTTTTTGACCGCAGGAATCTTAAAACGCCTAAAAATAATGAAATTTCAACTTTTTTTTACTTTTTTTATGACAATACTTCCTCTACCCGTGAGGGTAGCTAGAAAGGAAAAAGACAATTGGAATTGATGTTTTAGAGAGGCTTTTATGAGTGTTTCATAAGTAAATTTAAAAGAGACAGCTCGTAAAAACAAGTCTGGTCTTTTTGACTTCAGGAATCTTAAAGCGCCTAGAAATTATGTAATTTCGACTTTTTTTTTTTTTTTTTTTTTTGGATAACAATACTTTTTCTACCTTCTATGGTAGTTAGAAAGGAAAAAACTGTTGGAATGAATGTTTTAGAGAGCCTTTCATGAGTGTTTCGTAAGTAAATTTAAAGAGGCAAAATTGAAGTAAAGAAAAGTTTAAAAACTTCTTGAAAGCAGGTCGATTTGTACTTCTGCAATTCCTAACATATTTGAAAAAAATGATAAAAACTATATAATTTTTATTTTTAATTTAAAAAAAATTCGTCACCAATTTTTTTCGTCAGCAAAGTATCGCTCCATTTTCCTTATATCTTCTTTGTCTATTGCTTTCTCTATCGATTTTCAGTTGGCTGATTGCCAGCTGTATACGAGCATTTCTGCGGTTCCACGATCGACATTTTCAAGGTTCCGATATTGGATAAAGGATATTTATAAAGGATCGCTTCATTTTCCTTTGGTCTGCTTTGTCTATCGCTTTGTCTATCGATTTCAATAATCAGCCTGCTGTAGACATGCGTTTCTACGGTTTCAAAATCGACATTTTAAAGGTTCCGTTATGCTCTCATGAAGACGGCCCAAGAGTATTCGCACTGATGTTAATGCACTTGAAATGTTTTATCATTGTTTCAACACTTTCAGCGATCGTAAGTGCATCCGAACGCCTCGATTATGATCTGAGTCACGTATTTTAGCGGTGTTTATTTTATTCAGACATCCCCCTCCCCTCCATCATTTGTGTTCCCCCACCCTTCCCTCCTTCATCTCGTGCTTCTTAACTGTAAAATCCCATCCGACGATTATCATTAGAGCGCTAGGCGGTTGCCAAATGCATTCCCTTGTCAGTCCGAGTAAACGATCATTAGTTCATTCACAACTCATGGTTGAACCTTGAAAACCTTTCTAAATCCGCAGCCTTTCAAGTTTAGCAGGGAAAGATCAAATAAATGTGAATGGATCTGAGGTCGGACAACTTTCTCCACCTTGCAAAAGAGCCCGAAAGTTGGACCAATTAAGATTTGTCGGCCGCTTCTTGCATGATTTGAAGGCATTTAAGAGAAAAGTACGATCCACCGATG